CAGAGATGCTAGAGCTGCGACCAGGAATGGCATGACCCCTACCTTAGTAATTATTTATAATTTATTGGATGGGTAAATATTATTACAATATAATGTAGTAAATTAGTTTTTCATTTTGTTAAATGGACACAAAATATTTATGTTCTATTTCATGTGGTGAGTTTTTTTTTATTTAAAACTTGATATAGCAGAGGTCTTAGTTAACCCAAAACATGATTTCCACCAACTGAACTATATATGTATACTCATGAATGAAAAGTACATGGTTTGAAATCAAAACTTAATGAAATATTTGATAAAGCACAAATAAACACACACACAAGGCTTACTATTTGGTGGGGCAGGTGACTCCTCAGGTCTCTAATGCTTTGGTTGGCACGCACACGAGATGGAACCTACATGGAGGGGTTTGTATGCAAGACACTGGGAGCAAAGAAAGGAGGGTGGCATCAGCCTCTAGCCCAGCCTAGCCCTACGGACAGACACAAGCCTTATAGGAGAAAGAGAAACCATGAGACGCAGGCACAATCATTGGTGCCAAAATGACAAAATATACCGACGTGGAGAGGTGAGTCTTCTGCCCACTGCTGCATTAATCACACTGTAGTGTCATAGCAGAGGGTAGCAGAGACCTCCTGGTCCCTCTGGCACTGGAGGACCTTCTGCTTTAGGGCATCAGAAGCATGGCATATCTTCCTAATGTTAGGAAGAATAGGCATGAGGTAAGGGGGCATGGATAAGACATTATATGCAAAGTAAACTGAGGAGCATCAAATTCAAATGAGAAACTGACTCAGAAATTTTGAGGAGGACATGGAAACTCCATGTATTGCCAGTGACATATGTCAGGGATTTTTGTTTCTCTTTGTTCTAGATTAAATTTTAAAAATATTATAGCATCATTAAGTTTGGATGGTAAACTCCTTGAGTCCTGCCTTCATATCCTGTGCTTTCTGATATTTTCAAAATAGATGAAACAGTGCCAGATACATAGTAGCCATTCAATGAAGGTGTGGTCTTGCACAGAGGGGGAAACCCAAGAGAGGATTTGACTTCTCTCTTGGCTTAAATAGTTTTTAACAAACTGATCTCACGCATGAACCTTTTCAGACAATAAGGGGGAAATCTTGGTTTAGATATGGACTAGTGTCTCAGAATATAGGAGCAGCCATAGACCAACCTGGCTAGGACACTGATCAGTTTACCTCTTCTTTCTATTCCTTGATTTCTGTCACTCCCTGTCCGCAGCCAAGCGTTTCTAGGGAGCCTTACCAACCACATAAAGTTCTTTCCCAGAAAATGGTTCTTTCCACCATAGAAACACCATGGACAAGCAAGATACCATGGAGCCTGGATTTGTGGTATTAGGTAAGTTACTTTTCCTTTCTGTGCCTTAGCTGGTCAATGATGATGATCTCTACTCATATAGGGCTGCTGTGAGATCTAAATGTGACAGTCAATGAAAGCATGCACAAACCAGACCACGGTCAGTGCTAAGTGTGGCCTATCTGAATTGTCCTGGTGCCATTATTTCAGTGCTATCCGGCTACTCATGAACATCCTGCTTCTCTTGATTCTGCACAAATTATCACATGCATCGTCCATGCTTACGTATATAATCCAGAGATGGAATCTAATGAAAACAAAAAAGCTAAAACTGATGAACAAAATAGATCTAGAGACATGGGAGCAAGGGAAAGACTGAGGAATCTCAGAGAGAAAAGTGGAGGTGGGGCTGGGAAGAGATTAACCGAATAATTTATATGCCTAAATGCATAACGCGAGGACACAGACAATAGTGAGGTGAAGCCTGGGAGGGCAGTAGGAGCCAGGTGGAGGGGGTCAGTTGGAAACAGGAGGACATCTGTAATACTTTCAACAATTCAACAATTAAGATAAATTTAAAAAATAATCTAGAGATCAATAGAGAAACTGAAGTTGTTTCTGCAAGAGGAGCTGGTGAATCATTAGCACAGAACCCTATGGTCAGACATGAGGTCCCCAGGGCCTCCCAATGTGGGCGCAGGCCTGTGGGTTTGGTATTCTGCACCAGTTGACAAGAGCATCAAGGGGCCAGGTCTGACAGCAAAGGCAGCAGATTTCCTCCCTGCTGTTGTAGCTGTACCCACTCAACTGGAATGACCTGACTTACTTTTTTTTCCCTTCTTGTGCCCAGAAGGCATGCATTTACATATCTTAGAAGCAGATTCCCCAATCTGTTCCCACTTCACTCAGCCAAGTTTGAGGTGCCCAATAATCTTACAAGGAAAGCAAAGCTGGACAGATAAGAGCCTGGCCTCTGTCCCAGGAGGTGCACTCCATTTGTACAAAGGCTAGAGCTGACCAGGAGTGAGTTCTTGTTTCAGACCTGGTTCTACTATGTTCTTAGCAATAAAACAGAAACCTGAGCTAGCCTTTCTAATCCTTAGAGACTAGCTATTTTGCCCGTATCACTTAGATATTGTCCAATAACCCAAGGATGGAAAAAAAAAGCACAGAATATCATGCTGTTTCTCTGTTCTTCCCTTCCCGCTGGAAGGTGACCTTGTCAGTCCCAGCTGCCTCAGTTGGCCCCGAAACCAACTGTGATCACCCCATCCCTGTGAGTCCATAAGAGCAGTTGAGCCAACACTTTCTGTTTGGACTTCCACAGGGAATCTGAAATCTGACCTCTTACACAGTGTGGTGTATGAACTGGCAAAGTTCTTGAGGGAAATACTGCAATGAAAATCATTGAAAAAATGTCTCAGTGAAGATGAAATGATAACCACAGAAACAATAACCAAAAGCAGAATACAATAAAAATTTAAATAATAACATTAAACATATGTAAATAAAGCCCCAAAAGATGCATATAAACTAAGCCATGGTTTCTTAGGGAAAATTCACTGGCTCTGGAAGGCAGAGGGGAGAGGGGAATCGGTCCTACCTCTTCCAATTGCACCATGAGAGTAACATTGTGCCCTTGCTCGGCTGTCAACTTTCCATCCGCCGTGACGATCCGGAGACCCCGTGGGGCCTTCCCTGGACACTTCTGCGGTTTGGCCGTGTACTGTTCTCTCACGCCATCCGTGCAGTTATTGGAAACCACCTTCCTATACCTACATGGAGAAGAGCTCAAGTTGTAATCCAGCTCATTATAATTCAGATCACACTCCCAATGTTTTAAACTGAACCTGCTGCCTAGCCCTGAGGGCTATCAATAACTACATTTCATGTTGCTCTGAGGATTATAAAGCAACCCAACAGGAAGATGGATCATCATAGCAGCATATTGGACCTATTACTAGCACTTTCATATGCTTCTTTCATTCATTTAGTCAGTCAATAAATCATTTCACTTCGGCGCTGTGGGAAATGCATAGCAGTAGAAGACATGATCCTTGCCCTCACTAAGTTTATAATCTAGTTGAAGAGATATATGGATAATCTAGGAGATACTCCAAAGGTTATATAATTAAGGGTTAGAATGAGTAATATATATATCACAAGGGAATTTGCAATTCAGAGAAAGAATAGATTGTTATTGATGACATTGTTTAACATTAGATTTTACAGAGCATGCTATAGTAATGGCATAGTTCAGAAAGTTGGCTAAATTTGATCATTTCTACTCAAAATTTCATGTGGGGTTATACTGGTTAAATCATTGAAACTTCATATTAAGGAGGCTTCACTCTGCAGATTGAGTCAATCCTTCCTACACTTTTGCTTATTTCTTCTTATTCTTGCTTTAATAAAATAATAAATTATCCTATAAGTTTACTCCATACAATTTATCAGAGTCATAATAAATCTGTGGTTTCAGAATGATCAACCTTTAAGGCTTTGCAGGTTCAGTGTTACCTATTCATCATCTTTTTTGTGCGGTGTTTCACAGTAACCATTTTATGTATTCATATATAGGATGCCCTTCCAAAAATGTATACACATACATTTTTTGATAGCTCAATTGATGCTTCTTTCTTTTCAGATGTAACCCATTGCAATGAATAATTTTTCAAAGTGTGTATCCATTTTGGGGGACACCCTGTATTTGAGTACCCAAGATTAGTGTCTACAATTAGGGGTAGAGCTCAAATTGGAAGGAAAGCCCAAGATCTTCCACTCTTCCAGACCAGGTATGAAGGGCCAGATAGTAAATGCTTTAGCTTTGTGGGCTATATGATCTTTGTGACAAGCGTTCAACTCTTTGGTTGTAGCATGAAACTGAACATGGAATGAATGCAGCTGGGTTAAAAAAACAACAACACCACCTTTATTTACAAAAACTGGCAGTGAGCTGGATTTGGTTCGCAGGCTATTGTTTTCCAACCCCTTCAGAGCTAGCCAAAGTCCTTTCCTCAGGTTCCGAGTCTCAGAATTGACTACCTAAGCCCATGGTTGAGAAAGTCAAGTTAAATACTGTGTGAGAAAGACCACGTATGAAGGGCCAGATAGGAAATGCTTTAGCTTTGCGGGCTATATGATCTTTGTGACAAGCATTCAACTCTTTGGTTGTAGCATGAAACTGAAGATGGAATGAATGCAGCTGGGTTAAAAAAACAACAACACCTTTATTTACAAAAACTGGCAGTGTGCTGGATTTGGCTCGCAGGCTATTGTTTTCCAACCCCTTCAGAGCTAGCCAAAGTCCTTTCCTCAGGTTCTGAGTCTCAGAATTGACTACCTAAGCCCATGGTTGAGAAAGTCAAGTTAAATACTGTGTGAGAAAGTGCTGTGACCACTATGTGTCACTACAAGGTCAATTATTAATCTTTAACTTACCTTGTCAGGTAGTCGTATGGGTTAAATGGGTTAATGTACACAGAGTACTTAAAACCACCCTGGCAATTAGCAAGTGCTGGTGAAATGTTATTTCCATTTAATAATAATAATGTTACCAATTATTTTTATTTAATATTATTATTTGACCTGTTAACAAACTTCATGTCTTCCAAATGTCCTTAGGATAAGTCACAAATGCCATAAGCTTCTGCCAGAAGCCCTCCACAAGCTAACTTCATTCTAATTTTCTGGACACGGTCTCCCCCACAGCTCATTCTGCTCCAGCCACACCTCTCTTTTCAATCCTATTGAAAGTATTTATCTTCTTTTGCTCTTTCTGCTTCTGTGCCCTCCTGTATGTTCCATCACTATCATGCTTTCAGTTACATCTTATCACCTGTCTTTTCCTGACTGTGATAGTAAAATAGTAAGATGTAAGAAGCTCATATGTCTTTAAAATATATATTTTTACTGACTTCAGAGAGAATGGGAAAGCGAGACAGAGATAGAAACTTTAATGGTGAGAGAGAATCACTGATAGGCTGTCTCCTGCATGCCCCACACTGGGGATCTAGCCTGCAACATGGGCATGCGCCCTGGCC